ATCACTCTACCTCCACAGTCAACGTCCATCCAGCCGCCAGTCATTCTGCTACCGGTTACCGAAACTCCCGGTCGCCCTTGCCCTCCACCTATCTCTCCATAACACCCAATTTTCATTTTCTGAAAAAATTAGCAAAACCCCAATCCGATTAACAAAAGAAGAATTTTGATTTTTCTTCGAAAAAAAAAAGGTACGGAATCGGAATTGTGGTAGGAATTAACCTGCAACCTGCTTTGTGTTTTCTCTGTTAAAAATTAAAATGCAGGTAATTGGGTTTGTTAAAAATCCAGGGATTTTTTATAATGGAAAATTAATTATGTTTTTGTCGTATTCGATACAGGCGCGGAGAGTTTGGGTACTAAATAATTAATTACGCGATGGATTCTCCGATCACGCCATCGAGCGCGCGGACCCCGACGTCGATGATGGACAATCTCCTGGGTATTCTGCGGATCCGCGTCAAACGCGGCGTAAACCTCGCCGTCCGAGACGTCCGGAGTAGCGATCCTTACGTGGTCGTCAAGATGGGCAACCAGGTTTCGGTTCAATAACTCCTGATTGATTTCTCTGCTCTTTTTCTTCTGTTTGAATTTCGCCATGGATTTGGGGTTAAACAATGCTGAAATGATTCCTGCTGTGCACTTCAGTGTTTGTGTTTTGTTATCTTTTTGGTTGTTTGATTGTAAAATTTTTCAGCTCATTTGTTAAGGAAAAGGAGAGAATTCTGGTGGAATTTGGTTAGATTCCAGCCCCTTTGTTGCAATGTAAAGTAAAAGCATGGGCAATTCCTTTGAAAATGATAGAACAACTATGTTCCAACAGGACTTCAGAAATTCAGGAAGAAATATGACATTACTGGGATATAATATATAATGAATGCAGTAGCGTAGTATATCATAATTGCTTCCTTGAGGATGATGTAATGGGCTCAAGTAGTATTAGGGTAATGTTCCTTTACTAATTGATTGTTCTAATTTACATATTTGATTTTTTATTGCAGAAACTGAAGACTCGTGTAGTAAAGAAGGATGTTAATCCCGAGTGGAATGAAGATTTAACTCTCTCTATTACAGATCCTAATCTTCCAATCAAGTTGGTAAGTTTCACCATGTCATTGACATAGTTATAAAGTTAATTGGACAACACTAAAACACTTATGCAATATCTATTTTCACTATCCTTTATGAGGAGCAAAACCTTAAAACCTTTTTGCGTAGCAACTATTGTCCTCGTTTCAATTTTATAATTTAAGTCTTTGGAATAGCTGACAACAGAAAAAAAAAAAAAAAAGTCTGTGGAATAGCTCCTTGATAGTAACTAGGAAGAGTTGTTCTGTTCTTCATGGTATATAATGATTATAGTACCTGGTAAGATGTAAAGGATCTTTTCTAGGTATATATTGAATAATTCTAACTATCTTACTCCACACAGATACCTACACCGACATGTATAACATACAGTATATATTTGATGCTATTATGCCTCCCATATATTTTTCACTAGCTGTGAAAGGAATCATCTGATGAGCTAATCTTTAGATGTTCGTTTGTACAGAATGAGATTCTCTGTTTCTATTTATTTTTGAACTACAAGTTCTTGACCAATGCAGCTTAATATGATTAAGATGCAGTTTGCCTCTAATCTGATTTGTTGTCGAATATGCACTCTTATGGAAAAATATATGTGAGTTCTAGAGAATTTTGGGTGGGATTTCATCTCCTTGCTTCTTAGAATGGGATGTTGATTTATATTCTCGCAAAGGTGTTGTTACTGGAAAACCTGAATTCAAACCCATATTTTGGGGTCAATTTGTTATTCTAAAATTTGGAATTTTAAGCTATAAGGGACTGCACTTTTGAGGAATTTACTTCAGAGCAAGTATTTCTTTACTCTTTTAATGATGCTTGCTCACAATCACGCAACAAAGTCAAGTCAGAAATGTAGACATTGTTCATCAAAGAGAAACCTCCTCTGCACCCCCCTCTACTCCAAAAGAAATAAAATTCGGGTTATCATTTCTGTCATTCGGTAGAACACATCTTATGTCTGGTTCTATGGTCCTAAGATGTTAACTTTTTAAAATAAATATTGGCATATTTAAAACTACTTTTTCTGTAGTTTATGAAGTGTTTTCCTAAGGCAACGGGTGGAGAACTCAGTCCTCTAATTATAACCAGTTGGTGTACAGTGGATTTGATCAGTATTTAATCTTTAATTGTGCATTTGATGTGTGATCATGGATCATTTAGTCAGCATACTTTGCTGCTTCTTTAACCTCACCCTCCCTTATAAGGAAAAAGAGAAAGCAAGATTTTGCATTGTGCTGTCTTTTCAGCTCAATTCACAACTCACTTCTGTTCACCTAGAATGCTTCTACACTTTAACACAATGTGTTTTGAAATCACCTTTCTGAGCTACGAGATTCACTTTTCAAAGAAGTGAATCATAAGTGGTATTCATGTTCTAACATATAGCAGTAATACAAGGTGATGAGAATCACATAGCCAAGCTGAAAATTTTTAAAACCTTTGAAGACTCCTCATAACTCCAACCTCATACCAACAATTTCTGCTTTCTTCTTCTTATTCTTGACAGTCTATCTTCTCTCACTTGTTTCTGGTGTTAGCTGTATGTTTACAGTCCTTGTTTTGTGATTTCAGACAGTGTATGACCATGATACTTTTAGCAAAGATGACAAGATGGGAGATGCAGAAATTGACATCAAAACATACATTGAAGCCTTAAAAATGCATTTAGAAGAACTCCCAGGTGGAACTATAATATCGAAAGTACAACCCAGTAGGAACAATTGTCTGGCAGAAGAAAGTTGCATTTTTTGGTCCGAAGGGAGGGTTGTCCAAGATCTCGTCCTTAGATTAAGAAATGTGGAATGTGGTGAAGTGGAAATTCAATTGCAGTGGATTGACCTTCCCGGTTCTAAAGGTTTATGAAGTTCATGAATGCTCCTTCATTGGCTTCCCTGTTACATGTGGCTTAATGGCTGATTACTGACTGCTGAGCTCCCATTGCTTGACATCCGCGAATGTCATGGTGAGTTTGGCTAATTCTTTGAAATATTGTATTACAATCTGAACTTGTATGTACTCAAAAATTCTGCCTGTTAGTCACAGGTTTGTATCTCACTATAGGATTGAACAAATTTCGGTTTGTTCTCCTTGTGAAGACTAAATTAAATTTCACCTTTTTCGATATCTGAAATCTTCCCATGTGCTAAGAAACTTCTTCAATACTTGCATATAAATTAAAGTATCTACTTGCTCTTCTAGCTTCTTACTGATTCCTAAGCAAAGTCAAATTTGGTGGATGCCTTGAAATTCTATGTAAATCCTCTCAAAACCTGCCCCACGCCCTCCAACAACTTAAAGCAAGTGATTTTTACTTTATTCCAAAATCCATCATAACCATTACCGATGCAAATAACATCCTTTGCTTACATTAAAGCAGCTTTAAGCAAACTTTTGGGTTTTCCTTTTTAGTCGCTTTTAAGCTTTTGAGTTTTTGTTTATTTCCCAGACAAAAGCCTTTCTTCCTTCCCACATGGGCTGCCCTTTTGTGTTTGAATCGGATTCTGTTTGTAGAGACTTTATGCATCCTATAACTCCTTTAAGTTCTTTGTTGACTGTTTCTACAGATGTTTCAGATCATTGGGGTAAAAGAAAACCCTCATGAGTGGTTGGCCTATTCTGCTCTCAACTCTATAGATCAAAACTCGACATTTTTTTCTAAATTCTGGCATGGTGGCCTACCTGTTATTGAATTGGAAAGCTATATATATAAATTCAATGCATACAAGTTTCATAAGATTGCTCTTGACCATAATAAAAGGAAATACTAGAGGTATTTTAATTTTGATAGTTTCCAAATTTGGTTTTAATAAGTTTGATAATGGTAGTCATGGCATCCGTGTTCAGGTTTTGTTATGTGAGACGTAAATCTTTCAATTATCATATATGGAGGGTGTGTTTGGGATTATAGTGGGGAGTTTTTTTCATATAGTTTATAATATTTTTAGATATATATATATGTGTTTAATAATCTTTTTTTAAATTATTTTTTCTAAAAGTTGTAGAAAACAACAGCAGATATATATATAAAGTAAGAAACTTCATTTTAAAGCTTT